CAAAGCTTTCAAACAGAGATAACACAAAAATATTAACAGAAATGAGCATGACATCATCAGAAACTATAAAAGAATTCCAGACCTCTAATAATGTTGGAAGCAGTACAAAACTCTTGGGGGGAGGGTTGTTTTATTACTCAATTTCAACATTTTCTAACGCTTAACTAAATTTTACACAGAACTAGTGTATACTTGGCTACTTAGAATTGTCCCCCCCCCCTTTCTGTTCATCATTAGCTTTAGGCTGTATCAGTTTCTAAAGTTAGGAACAATTCAAAGCTGTCAACGCCTCTGCACTTAGTAGAAATGTGATTTAAACTAATTTATTCTCAATTCAACAATTAGATGACATAGATATATGAAATATAGATGGAGCTAACTACACACTTTGATATTTCATAGGAAAAAAATAATTCAAGCTTAGAGGCTAGTGAATAAATTTAAAATAATCGAGAAGTGTGATATACTCATAGTTGAAACACCTACAGAAAAGTCAAAAATGAAGTTTTGGGTATTTTATTAATTTCTATTCAGGAAATAAACAAGATAAACATTACGTAATACTAAAACACCAATTCTAAAATAGTTTTAAGTAAAAAAATTGTTGAAAAATTATATTTCCAATTCACTTTTGATGGTTTAATTGTGTATGTGTATGCTCGGAGTGACACAAAAGTCCTATGGTGCTGGGCTACGGTTTAAAACATATATCTGACTTATAAACCTGTAAATGATTGTTTAAAGTCCTGTGGTGCTGGGCTAGGGTTTGATATATATCTGACTTACAAACCTGTAAATGATTGTTTAAAGTCCTGTGGTGCTGGGCTAGGGTTTGATATATATCTGACTTACAAACCTGTAAATGATTGGTTAAAGTCCTGTGGTGCTGGGCTAGGGTTTGATATATATCTGACTTACAAACCTGTAAATGATTGGTTTTCATCTTGTAAATAATTAGTTGGTCAGTATGTGTGAAAATATTAACTAAAAATGTAATTAATTACTTAATACAAGCTCTTTTTAAACCATTAGTTTGTCAGTATGTGTGAAAGGAAACTAATAATGTAATTAATTAATATAAGACCTATTGTAAAAACATTAATTGATCGACATGTTTGAAACATTCACGTTTAATTTCTTATTTTAACTGTTTATAAAAGTTCATCCTCTTTCCAAAAGTTAGAGAACTTAGGTATATTACTTGCAGATTAATGAGTTTGAAACTGACCTCGTAATGAAGGAAGCAACGTGTTTCTTGTAGCGTGAAACGGGAAAATTTAATAACTTTTAAAATTAAGACATAGAGAAGATTATTGCTGTGACATCATCATCTTACAGAAAATTAATTTCAAACTTTACACAATAGTGTTTGTATTTTACACTACTAAATATAAATTAGTGGGATTAATTGTAAAGCTGGTGACATTTTTTGTCTAAGTTCTTTCTGTTACATGTTATTAGGAGCCTATTTGTATGGTGAAAACATTTCAGTATTGGATGTGGAAATCTGCACTGGACAGAGTGTAACAAACGTAAATAAATAAATGGATAGAAAAATCTGGACAGGTTCTTCTGGGGCTTTTTTGTTTTGTTTCATACTCAAGTCATCTTGTATAAAAATTCTTGTGACTGCACAGTGATTCATTCATTGCATTTGTGTTTTGGCAAAGTCAGAATGAAAGGTTTATTTTTAACACTCAGAAATTTTCAGTTGTAGCAAAATTTTCTGATCCTTTCTGTGATTTTGGTGCAGAAATAGTTCAGAAAAATGGGTTTAAAAAGCTAACGTGATACTGGATGTTCACCGAATGCTTTACTTTCAGGTCTTGGAAGGAGAAACTTGAACAGGCAGAAAAAAGAAAGAAAGAAGTCTTGTATTAATTAATTACATTATTAGTTTCCTTTCACACATACTGACAAACTAATGGTTTAAAAAGAGCTTGTATTAAGTAATTAATTACATTTTTAGTTAATTTTTTCAGACATACTGACCAACTAATTATTCACAATAGGTCTTGTATTAATTAATACATTTTTATTTAGTTTCAATTACCTGGTTGTCTGGTCCAGAAGCTTTTGCGATTCTTGAAGTTTTAACTTTAGCGCAGCTATCTCATCCACACATGCTGTATATTCTTCTGGTCTCAATGGTGCTTGTTGACTCCTAAGACGCTCAACTTCAGCATGCAGCTCTTCAGAAAAACAATAAACACTTCACATTCAGAGCATCATTAATGAGCAGTCCGCTGAATAAAAATATGTGATGTTATATAATTCTTTCAGAAAAGACATTTCTATATGACTTGATTGAAAACAATTGTAACCCTTGTAATACTTTCCCAAAGAATGTCAAATATCCAATTACTTATATGTACGAAATAACTTACCTCTAATCAATCGAGCCTTGGGATCCTCATTAACTCTGGCAACATTAACAATATCTCTCGCTTGTTTAGCATATGTGCGGAGAGTTAAGGAATAAACTATTTCAACCTGAGACAAATGTGTGGTCATAAGAACTTCTTTTTACAGACAAGATTGATCTTTTTAAATAAAATAAAACCCAGTTGATTCTGCAACATTTAATATAAATGGTATCTTATCCCAACACTAATTCACTATGTTCAGGGTACGCTATTCATAGACGAGCTCTATTAGGTTTGAGTCATCTAAGGTCACTTGTAAATTTCCTTCAAGGCTTATTTATATATATTGCAACGTAAGTCTGACATATAGCATGGCTCATCATGTCAGAAGAATCAGTAAATCCTAATTTTTATCGGAACATAGTTCAGCTCTCGGAACCTTTCATCAAAACTATTTTCTAATTAACTTATGTGACTAAACGTAATACTCAGAGATGTAGTACAATAAGAGAACCTGCGAACAGTATTTAAGTATATTTTACTTTATTACAAACAAACAGATTATTTTCTAATAACTATTAAGTTTTGGAACCCTACATTAAACATATATATATATATCTACTTAAGTATATAACTTGAATAGGAAATACGAATATTCCAATATTATCATTGAACACAACACAAATTACTCAGGGTAAAGTTTTATGTTGTAAAATGTAAATCACAAAACATCTTAAACTGACTTTTGTTATATTAATATTAACTCAGTAGTTACACATTTAAGGACACACAAATATTTCAGTGAAGGATATCTTAGAGTACTCAATGTTTCTTCGATGTGAATGTTACAGGGGCTGATGGTTGCAATCATAGCAGTGCGAGAGTTCCCTCCAAGACTTTCTTTCAATAGCCATGTTAAAACAGACTCTCGGTAAGGAACGAATAATGTTTTTTTCTGTGTTGAGCTAGATGCTGAGGGTCCTGGTGTTCCGTGGCTTGCAAGATGCGAAATGACTTTCCCGAGAGTTAATAAAGACTTGTTGATACTGACACCCTCCTGTCAATATTATAGCAGGTATCAAACAGGATATGAACAGAAAATATAATAATAATATTTATACTCGGGAATTGTATCCAAATATACTCAACTAAGTAATATCGATAGTTTTCAGCATCCATTGGAATGATTAATGTATCCATTTTACAAATGCACACAAACATAGCATTTTGTAAAACCATAATTATACGAATGTTAACAAAACAAAGTAAAGTTTAAACAAATACATACAAAATGTTTGAAGTAACATTTTGAAAAAATGTTCACGTAAAGCTAATCCAAACTAGAATCACATGTTAATCAGATGAGGCTGGAATAAAATATCATTGTCTAATTACAAAAATAAACAAAGAGAAAAAAATACTGTTTATATTTTAACAGTTTTACCTGAAATGTCCAAAAATAAATCATATACCAAGTTTGAACTGTATTCATATATTTCTGTGATACATTCACTTGCATTGAGAACAGGGAAACATATTAGTGAATATTGGATGACAAAATGACCAGCCGAGTTACAGCAGTGTTGGCTCTCACCAGTCTAGCATGGTTAAACAAGAAAAAAAGGCCTATGTCACATATATTTTAAGTTGGACCTGGGGAAGTTTGAATTTTTATGAAGGCTAAATTAGGGCCACTAGGCTAGCTAGCCATAATTTTGAAATTACAGACTAGAGGGAAGGCAGCTAGTCAGCACCAACCACTGCAAACTCTTGTGCTACTCTTTACCAACAAATAGTTTCTAGGTTGTAATTAATGGCTAAAAGACATTTTCAGTGGCATGTTAGCCATTATTCAAAGTTCTTACATTGTAATTAATGGTCAAAAGGCATTTTCCAGAGGCATGTTAGCCATTATTCAAGGTTCTTACATTGTAATTAATGGTCAAAAGGCATTTTCAGTGGCATGTTAGCCATTATTCAAGGTTCTTACATTGTAATTAAT